CCCCAAAACCCCAAAACCCCAAAACCCCTGTTTTCGATGTGGTAATTGAAAGATATAAAGCAATTAGTCTAATTCAAGTAAAAAAAATTGGATACTTTGTTACTATTAATCCCTGTGTTTTTCTTCTCGTTGTAGCCACCTACTGCGATTCCTCCCATATCTTTATTGATTCTGAGATAATCTAAATCTACTGCTTCAGAGTCTTCTCTTCTTTTATTTAAGAATTTAAGTTCTTTCCTCTGAGCTTTGGTCATTTTCTTTTGAGAATTTTGTTCAAAGAATTCTTTGATATATTTCTTCTCCATTTGTTGATGAATTGCTTCTTTTTTTTTGAGTAATGAATTCCAACCTCAGTCCTAGGATCAGCTGTCGATGACATCGAAGTTTCAGAAGTTTTTCACTTTGTCCATCTTTAGACTCTTCATTGGTTCTGTGATGCTGAATTTCATTATATATTCGATGTTTGATTGATTCACATACCTGTGTTTCTCTGGATCGTAATCTGGTCTCAGGTGTACTAAGAGCAGTTTCACATTGTTTTAGTCCTTGAGCATTATTTAAGCTGTTTGTTTTCATCAGGTAGCCCTATTCCAGTAACATATCCAATGAATCCTAAGCAAGCTTGAAGAATTTCACTTTCAGAGTATGTTTCATGAGGTAACATCTTATACTCTTGTTCAAACATCTACTTTGGTATTCTTTGAGCTACCAGCTCCATCGGTCCTTTGATAACTCTCAAGTTATCAATTGGGATTACTCCTCATCAAACCATTTCAGGTTTGAGGAAGCAAAATTAGGAAAGACCAGTCCTGGGCAATCTCATTGGCATATATTGCTTCTTAAGTTGATTATTTGGAAATGCTTTGTTTTATCTAACATAGAAGCAACTCCTAATTTCTTAGACCTGCAGAGAACATTAATTAATATCTATTTACAGACATTAGGATACCCGATCATTCTAATGCTGTGCCTTCTATCTTTTTCCTCAGGTTTGCCACATTTTTGCTTCATAAAATTTTTGATGAGTTTCATTAGTTCCTCTCTGATATAAATAGTGGCAACTCAAAGTTTGTCCAAAATATGCCTAATTTCTGTAAAAATAGTAACTTCTAATTCACCAATGAGCTATATAAAATCAATAATTTCCTAATGAGATTCGACTACCGAGTAGCAAATTGCCAGGAGCCCTCAGGCTTGGATCGGAGTGCAAGTGAATTGTGTGCCATTCTGAGCTGATCTCTGCGCTAAGCCTAGCTCCACAGTCCTGCTCCTAGTATACGAAAGCAGACTTGGAATCTTCAGCCGTAATCGAAAGTTAAATTCTATTAGAAACTAGAGCCGGCTAATTTCTATTTTGGTGAGAAAGCCAACCTTCCAGTCGGAATGGTATCAAATCCTGAGGAAGCTGTACTACTTGACTTACATTGAAAGTGATCTTGGGCAGAAAATGGAGAATCCATTTGTAGGTAAGTTATTAATTGTTAATAATAATGAATTATTCAGGATATAAGTAGCTGTGCGGGGTTTTGGGGTTTTGGGGTTTTGGGGTTTTGGGG